ATTATATATATATATATATATATATATATATAATATATAGTTACAGTAGAAATATATATATATATATATATATATATATATATATATATATATATATAGTTACAGTAGAAATAGAGGATATATATATATATATATATATATATATATAGTAATATTAGTTACAGTAGAAATAGAGGATATATATATATATATATATATATATATATATATATATATATATATATATATATATTTCTAATATATATATATATATATATAATAATACTTCATATATATATATTATATATATATATATACTTAGTAGCATAGAATCGTATACTAAGTACTCGTTCATTTTGGGACTGCATTTTTAAAAGTACCGCCAGACGCTGGAACGTCGAAACGAGGCATGTTCAAATTTAGGAAAACCAACGTAGAATAAATATTTTGTGGAGTGAGTAGCTATGGTTAAAAAACAGAACTGCCCAAACAAACAGAATTGACTAATTATGCAATAAGGAATAACAAGAGAAAGAAAAGAAAGGAACAGAGCAAGAAATCAAGATATGCAAGACAAATCAACAGTCATATGGTAAAAAGTTCACATACTAAGAATTGGTGTTGACACACAAAAGCAAGTTCGGGCAAAGAAACATAGCGTTCAAGATAAGACAGATCGGAACTGAGTCAGACGAAACCGTGAACAGGCCTGTTGTACTGACTGATAAAAAAATTACAGCATGTATTTGTGTGCTACTGCCTATAAAAGGGGAGGGTAAAATGTTTTGCAGTCATTGGTTTGAAATGAATATATACCCGTTATTTTTTCAATGGAGATTAAGTTGTTGATAATTGTATTGAATCTCAAATGCAAGAGAGAGGCCCGGCCTTTTTCATTTTCAAAAGAGACAACTGGATTTTTTGGGATGCATAATAAGGAAAGAGGCCCTATACAATGTAAAGTGATATACTGAAAGCAAGAGAAACAGGGAGAGACTGCGAGTAACCTACCTTACTAATTTATGTGATTAAGTGGTAAAACTGTGACAAGAACGGTGGTAAAGTATCTAACATTTTTTTCGAGCAAAAAAATATGGGAAGTGGTGGAGGATTATGATCAACTGCATCATGAAGGAACACGGCACATAAACGATGACATAGTCACAAATGTTGAGTTATAATTTATTTTTTTATTTATGGAAAATGTGTGCTCAAAACGAGAGGCTAGGTAAAGCTTTCCAAGGGAGATAATTCAATATTTGGCATTTGAGAAAACGTTGAAATGAGAATGACAGAATTAAAAAAAAAATTATTTTGATTTTGGGATGTAATGGACATGGCCTGTCTCCCAGACGAAAGAGACACAAAATTCCCTGTGCCATATATGTTCAAGTAAATTACCTAGAGCCTTTGGACTAATTATCAGGTCATCCTATAAGTTCTGTCCGAATTTTAACTTTTTGTTAAAATGAACGAAATTTAAAGAGTATTTTATAATGTCTAATGGAGCTGAACATTATTTTTATGTTTAGATGCATTTAAACTGATCAAATTTTATTTCAGAGAACAATAAAATTAAATTTAGTTTGATTAAAACTCTGCTAACATGGAAGTACCCAAGAATCATTTGAGGCACATAATGCTTTATCAGTTCAAGAAAGGAAACTCAGCAGTCGAAGCGGCTAGAAACGTTTAATCAGTTTATGGAGAGGAATGTGTGAATGAAAGAACTTGCAGAAGATGGTTTGCAAAATTCAGAGGTGGAGATTTCACCCTTGGAGATGAAGATCGAACCGGACGTCCAGTTGAGTTTGATGAAAAGCTTCTTGAAGCAGCCCTTGAAGAAAATCCGGCTTTATCAGTTGAGGAATTGGTAGTGGTTCTCATTTCAAACCATACAACTGTTCATCGTCATCTTCAACAACTTGGGAAAGTTCCTAAACTTGGAAAATGGGTGCATCCTGAATTGTCTGAAAACAACCTCAAATCCCGAGTTGACATCTCCTCTTCTCTCCATTCTCGCTAACTTGTTTCACCTTTTTTGGATAGACTTATGACTGGCGACGAAAAATGGATCCTTTATCGAAATGTTAAGCGTCGTAGACAGTGGCTTGGTAAAGGGGAAGGACCCCAGCCACAGCCGAGAAGGGAACTTCATGGGCAAAAGGTTCTTCTTTCAATCTGGTGGGATCGCCAAGGAATAATCCACTTTGAATTCTTACCACCTAATGCAACAATTAATGCTCAAATATACTGTCAGCTATTAGAGCGTTTGAACCAAGATTTGAGGAAAAAAAAGACCTGCTCTAGTGAATCGAAAAGAGGTGATGTTTCATCAGGACAATGCGCGACCCCACACAGCAAAAATCACGTCACAAAAGATTGAAGAACTTGGTTGGGAGAAAATTCCTCATCCACCTTATTCTCCCGATCTTGCTCCTTCAGACTACCATTTGTTTCGTAGCTTACAGAATCATTTGTAAGAAACAGCTTTTGTAACACAGGAAGAGGTTAAAACTGACATTTGTGAGTTCTTCGAATCAAAGCCCAAAGAATTTTACAGTAATGGAATTTGTAAGCTTGCTAATAGATGGCAGGAAGCCATAGATAATACATTGTTGATTGAATCTGTAATTAAATGTAACATTTGGTCACTTGTTTTCTTTATTCAAAATTCGGACAGAATTTATGGGATGATCTGATAAATGCCTGTAGGTGGATGTGAAAAAAAGCTGCATAAATGGGCGAGGCACTCATAAAAGCCGGCAGATGTTTTCTTGGCAAAAACAAGGATTGAGTGGGGGGGGTATACATTCCGACATGTTGTAATATTAGCGGTCTTATCTTGCTAGATCAATTATGACTGAGTGGTGAGTTCGATTCTCACTGGGTGCTTCATACTTTCGGCTTCGCTTAGAAAATCATTTAATAAACCCGACTTTGGGTTACATCCCTTCATTGTGGGAAAGACTTTGGTAAATACATCAAAGATTACGAACGGCGAGGAATACGTTTGAACGAGCCAACTGTAAGGCTCAAGGATAAAAACGTGCCAGTGAAGAATGGGAAACAGATTAATTAACATATATTACTACATTGGGAAATCTACAAATTACTATCACGAGTAGAAACAACGAAATATGTGGTTACACTCGTGTAGCTTTACACAAATCCTATAAAAATACGGTGCTACTATTGTATGATATCTACCGTCCATTTTCTACTATAGTATGATATCTACTATTCATTTTCTACTATAGTATGATATCTACTATTCATTTTCTACTATAGTATGATATCTACTATTCATTTTCTACTATAGTATGATATCTACTATTCATTTTCTACTATAGTATGATATCTACTATTCATTTTCTACTATAGTATGATATCTACTATTCATTTTCTACTATAGTATGATATCTACTATTCATTTTCTACTATAGTATGATATCTATCGTCCATTTTCTACTATAGTATGATATCTATCGTCCATTTTCTACTATAGTATAGTATCTACTATTCATTTTCTACTATAGTATTATATCTACCGTCCATTTCTACTATAGTATGATATCATCCATTTATCATACTATAGTATAACAAATATCTATCGTCCATTTTCTACTATAATATGATATCTACTATTCATTTTCTACTATAGTATGTTATCTACCGTCCATTTTCTACTATAGTATGATACCTACCATCCATTTTCTACTATAGTATAATATCTATCGCCCATTTTCTACTATAGTATGATATCTACTATTCATTGTCTATTATAGTATGATATCTAATATTCATTTTCTACTATAGTATGATATCTACCGTTCATTTTCTACTACAGTATGATATCCACTATTCATTTTCTACTATTATCGTATGATATCTATTATTCATTTTTTACTATGGTATGATATTTACCAACTGGGAAGTATATGTTAAAGATCATTAAAGGGGCATAATAAACAGTTTGTAGTGTAAACTTTATACCAGTCAATTACAGTATTAGGTGACTTACAAGTAAAAGTTACTGTAATACTTATCGGGATTTTGTGAACAAAATAATACACTTATTCTAAAATTTCACACATTTTTGTAATAGAACTACATAAATACCCCCTTTATGAATACAAATTAGATAAATACCCCACTATTTATGTTAAAATAACACTATGTAGTTTGAGGAATGAATTGCTGTAGGCCGTAAGTGGGTTGTTTAGTAGAGTGCATTGTCATTTACGGTAGGTCGCAAATGCATCAGTAGGTAGCATACTATAGCAGCACTAAAGATATTTACTAATTTTATTATTCATACGTAAAAATAAATTATTTCATGAATACCGAACAGTCAATTATGTTGGTCAAAGCTGCATCTATTCTTGTATCGCGCAGTAGAATCTTGTAAGAGAAGGTTTAGAAATTTTAAAATTCATGGAGGGAATTTTATCAGGAGCGTCACCATCCTGATCCAAACATTAAAAAATATATTTGTAGCTGAAAATAATAATAAAAAAAATCGCAAAACATTTTAAGCCTTGTGTAGGCAAAACTTTGTATTTGGAATTTGAATCATTTTTATGAACACGCAAACAATATGTCGACTGAACTTCAAACATAAAACACAGTTTCTTAGCTAATTTTATTTTAAAAATGTTTTTTTTTATCATAAAATAAAAACAAGTATAAAACAATTTATGCCAAATAATAATATTTTTTTAATAAAAAGTATTTTTAGCTATGTCCTGTTATATAAATCATTTACGATTGTCAAACAAAACTAAACAAAAACACCATTTGACAGTTTTAATTTGTGTTTGTGATAAAAATATTCACGTGTACAATCACCGTCAATGGTCTTGTCTAATAGGTGTGGAGAAAGATTCATTTCCCCGCCAAGAAATTATACGTTGGTGAATAGAGTTGTAATTGTTGCGTTCTCGACATCAAAGATATCATAAAAGCAAGATGAAAGGATATTGTTAAGAAAAAAACATAACGAAAAGATAAAAACTCACAATGAATATCTGAGCCATTTTCTGTTGCTGAGGAATGGAACAATGATTCTCTATGGACAGGATGATGGGAAATGGAGAGTTGACAAATGCAGTTTTGTTAATGGCTTCGACCACCGCCTGAAATAGAAAACATATTTAAATATTCTTTATTGGTAAGAGAGGCGTGTGAAAACTCCAAGAGAGTGAGACATCCGGGAATTAAAGTTGGCGGGAAGATTATCATTTATCTGGATACTTTTTTTTATTTACATTTATATTTTTTAAAATTATTATTTCTGTTTTTGCACATATTTTGAATGTTATTAGCTGCTTTTGCACTGACTAGCTATCAAGCTACATCTCCAAGTCGTACGTATCAAGTACTTTTTTGATTGTTCGCGCTGCGCCATGCAAGCAAGCCTTCTTTCATACATAAAAAAAAAACTCACTTGTATATCTAATGCTTTCAGGCAACGAGGAAAAATGTCTCTGACAATCTTCCTAGTGCCCAGATAACAATAGATGCAATCTCTACTTTTTGGTAATTCCATATTCTTTTGATTTCGTACTTTAAGTCTGTAGTGGTCTCAGTTTTCTGTCTTTTTTTCTCGACTACTCTGACAACAAACAGACGTCAATAAAGGCAATACACACGAACTTTGATAAGAACAACATTATACAAGTGCAAATGTCCGTTTGAATTTTAATATCTCATAAAATCATTACTCTTTCATCATTATTATTATTTCTTTTGATTTTTGTTGCATACACATATCCTTGCTAGTTCCAACCAGAAACCTAAGGTCAGAAATGGCTTCATGGAATTTTTCACGGAAAAAAAAAGATGACATACATTTGACATAGATAAAGCTCTTCGTAATATGTGAACTATACTTGTGTGTTAATTCTTTTGTAATTTTTAAAGCCTTGGGATACCAGGAATCTCTTCTATGATTCTATCGGGCTCTTTTCCCAATCAGTCCGAGGGTTCCAACTACAGCTGGAATTATTGATGTCCTCATGTGCCACATTTTGGAGATTTCCATGTCAAGATCCTTGTATTTTTCAAGATTTTCAGAGATACATTACAATCTGCAGGAAGTGTCATGTCAATAAGAAAACACACTTTATGCTTGTGGTCATTGTTCACGATAGCTGGGCGATTAGCTTTGATTGTTTTGTCAATTATTATTATTATCATTATTATTTATTTATTTATTTATTTCCTTTGCTTTCTGGTGTGTACACATTTCTTTCCGGGTCCCAGAGACCTAAGGTTAGAAATGGCATCAGGATATTTTCCACTGACCAATTAAAAAAAACAAAAAACACACAAACATATTTTACATAGCCCTTCGTAAGGTGTGGGTTGTACTCGTGATAACAATTTATTATTATTATTATTATTATTATTATTATTATTATCTTTTGTTTTCTGTTTATTACAATCCCTTGCTGGGTCCTTACCTGTGACCTAGGGTAAGGCAAGGTAGTAAGGCTTACGGTCATATCACGTTGAAACATCGGTTACCGTACGATCACCGAAGTTAAGCAACGTCAAGCCTGGTCAGTAACAAGACGAGTGACCGCTTGGGAATACCAGGTGTTGCAAGCGTGAATGCGTAGGTGACTTTACTGATAGTAGCTCGGAATTGTTAATCGAAAAGCCGTGTTCCAATTCTCATTGGGTTCGTCATATTCACTTACGCACAAATAACCTTGGGGAAAGGTATGAATCCACCCATTCTTCTCCCAGCTATGGATTAATTAGTAAGACTTGTGTCACTAAACCATTATTATATATAAAAAAAAATTCTTACACTCTAAAAATATTTTCTGGCTTTAAATAAGCCGTAAAAACGAATCAGTCAATCGATGCGGCAGATATATGCATTCTGTGTGCTCGAATTCTGACACATAAAGGATACTTGTACAGTGTTATATATATATATATATATATATATATATATATATATATATATATATATATATATATATATATATATATATATATATATATATATAAGCACACGGTGGAATAATGGATAGCGGCTTGGATTGAGGAATCGGGGAGCCGAGTTCGAATATTCACTTACGTGCTAATATTCTTGGGAAAGGTGTGAAAGGTATGGGTAAATAGCAGGACAGACTGGGTTCTATAGCTTTGGATGGCAACTGGTCTAGGAGAAGGACAACCCTGAATTCAAAACCTGTGGTGGGTCGTTTGGGGACCTTGTGGCACGTAGTACACCAGGTCTCTGTATTCGGCCCTTCAAAAAGTGTGGATAGTCCTGCACGAAACCTTCATCACTATAATCAAATCTCATGTGCTGTTGTCGGGCTGTCGGTTTCCTGGGAACTGATCTGCTTAACCCTCATACGTCGAATTCGACGTGAGAGTCGAATAATATATATATTTGTATTGATAATACTCTGTTAAACAGATGAGCAGGTTTACACGATCCATTTTAAAAAAATCTCTTGCAAACAGGAACTACCAAGCATCTTACTAATGCTCTATGTGTAGCAGTTGTTTGACTTGCCATATTTTTCAGTTTTAGTTTCAAGACCCTTGTATTTACTTATTTTGTCATATTTTTTTTAACAGAGGCAATGCCGTGTCTACGAGAAAGCCATTTTTTGTTTGTTGTATTAGCTTTTGTATATCCTTCTACGACTGATTCAGATGATTATCATTATATGTTCTCTCGCACTGTTTTTCGTTTTCAAGCGCAAATTTTGAATCTTTGTCAAGCTGTACAACCTCAGACAGCGCATTTCGCAGAAAATTAGCAGTGCCAAGCAACGCGGACTTCTGAAGCGATCGGATACCAAGGTTTTATCCCGATTTTCTCATTCTAGGATTTCAATTCGCTAATATATGATTACTGGGACAATAGTAGCCTGGATGTCCTAGATTCTGGTAACTTCAGTCCGGATTGATCGATTTTTTACGGCTTATCAACCTTTTGTGGGTTATTAAAACCGAAGCATATTTATGGATTGCAAGAATAATTCTTTATTTTTGTGTGTGAAGATTGCATTAAAATTTTTTTAGACTAACAATGATTATCGTTTACAAGTTTCTACTATTTAATCCATAGATGGGGGAGGAAAAAGACGGATTCCCAAGGATATTTGTACGTAAGTGAATATAACGAACTCGAATGGAACTTGAACTGGGCTCAGCGATTTCCCATATCGAGTCGCTATCCACGACACCACTCGCACATCCTCTTTCACTAACAAGGACACGTTATTTATACTTGCTTATTTTAATTATCTGAACGTTTAAACAGTGATTAATCTAATGTAATGGCGTAACGTATAATATAAGCTGGAGTATAACAGAGAATCGGGGAGCCGAATTCGAATTCTAGTCGGATCCATTACATTCACTTACGTGCTAATACCCTTTGGAAAGGAATGAATTCTCTTCTCTCCCTCCAGGTATGGGTAAATAGCAGGGCAATCTGGGTTCTATAGCCTTGGGTGACAACCGGTCTTATCTATATCAACAAGAATGTTTTCAACAAAGGACAGTGGATAAAGTCGTTGGTTAGATCCAGTGACAGGACCCAAAGAGTGTGAGTTCAATACCCGATTGAGGCAGTGGAGAACTTGGAGAGGGGAATTAACAGGAGATAACTGATAACTGACATCCATTAAACATGGCACGTGGAACTAGAACAGTCTACCCCAGTGAGCGAAATAAAGAGTTCAGTTCGACATTCCAATCACCTGAAGAAGGCCGAAATATTGTAATAAATATGGTGACAAAGATGAGGACAATAGTCCGAATAATGTAAATAGTGTACATAATACCTCAAATCAGAAATATAGACAGATACTAAAGTGATACAATAATGAAAGCAAATGGCAGGTTGAAATTTTATGAAATATTTCATAAAATAAAAAAATAAATGTCTGGCTGTGGAAAAATTTATACCTTTCATTAACAACAGAACCTGAGTCCAAACATCTACATTTCAGAGAAACGTACTACTTATTGAATGGCTGGTAAGGAGTGCTGCCCTGTAAGGAGGCACGGTGGAGTAATGGATAGCGGCCCGGATTGAGGAATTGGAGATCCGAGTCAGATCCATTGCATTCACTTACGTGTTAATACCCTTGGAGAAGGCATGAATCCTCTTCTTCCCCACACCGAGTAAATAACATGATAGACTGGTTTCTATAACCTTGGATGGCAACCAAGTGTAGGAGAAGGAAAACTCTGAATTGAAAATCGGCCTGGAGAGGGTTGGGCTCTGTCGAGTTATCTCGCCCAAGAAACACCACTTCTACTGCGGCTGCAGTACACATGGTGCTCCTATAACCCCGTGGGTCACGAGAAAAAATAACAGTGAAAGATTTCTTTTTATTTCTTCATTTATTGTAATATGAAGTTAAGGTGGCAGTTTATAGGGATAGAGAGATTGTGCGGACTTTGGGTTGATGGTAGCTAGATGAATGGAAATATTGATTGAAATCATGAGAAAAAGAATATAGGATAAATAATTGTGGGTGATTATGGTGTGTGTGTGTGTGTGTTTGAGAGAGAGAGAGAAATAAAACGAGAAAGGGATAGATTATATACGGGGAGAAAGAGAGATGTGGACTATAATGATGATTAGTTGAATAGTGACATAGACCGAAATTGGAAGTAAAGGAGATAGAAGAAATAAATGCAAGTGTTTATGGGATGTGAGAGTGATAAAAAAGAGAAAAAGTGAATAGAAAACGATGGGAGAGTGGGATGGAAGAGAGATGTGGAAAGTATAATGGTTAGATGAATTGAGTAATGTCATTGCTTGTAATTGGGGCAAATAAATAATACAGAATGCATATAAGTAATTTTATAGAGAAAGGCTCAGGGACAGAGAGAAAGCGTGAGAATTATAATCGATGATTATGAGATGAATAGAGCAGTTATATATATATATATATATATATATATATATATTTAAATAATGATAGAGCGAGAGAGAGAGAGGGGGGAGTGGGGAGGAAGAGAATTAGTGTAACGTGGCAATGTTTACCTTAAATGAGATCTTGGTGGTGAGAGTGTGACCGTGATAAATAATAGGCATGCCGTCATCTCCATCCCAGCAGTCAAGCTCCACACAGCGACAACCCATCAGGAGAATCTGGACAGAAAAAGAGAGAGGGAAATTAGATTGATGAAACATTCAGAGAATTAACGGAAACTGTCTCGCGTACTAATTTCAAAACGGGGAGAAACTCTGACAAACGTAATAAACTGAAGAAATAAAATGATAAAGTGTAGTACCTCCTTCCATCTGAATAACGGCGGATACACAACGTAGCATACATCCAAGAAGTGTTGGAGTAATTGCCTGGGTATATTCACTCAGGCAGGTTCAAGGGCTATCTGTACCCGAGTTATGATTCTTCGTTGTGACAGTTCGGAGCAGTACTGGGGGAGAGAATTTCCGTGGTCCGGCACTCAGATTATTTTGAGTCCTTCTCCCCGGTTGGAAAAGGAGATGCTGGGACGAACAAACTCGATCTAGCATTTCTTACAAAACTTTTTATAGAGTGTGTCTAACTTGGCAACCTCTGCGATCAAATTTGATTAGACCTTGAGGAACTCATTGCGTATTTTGCTTCAATGAAAATTCGAAAAATACACTTTTAAACTGCTTTGGAACTGGTTCTGGTTTTCGTTTTTTTTTTCATTCAATTTTGCTCTTTATTTTTTGTAAAGACCCCCCCCCCCCAAACCCCTAAAGGTATTTTCTTGGGGTCACTCGGGTTTCAAGCCCCCGGCTGTCCCCCACTCTCGCCGCCACTGGCTGGAAATTCGGAAAGTATTTTCATATTTTATAGTATTGCATTGATTGTCATTTTGCCATAAAAACCTGTTGTTGCTCATTTTATTATAAAAATACATTGTTGATTTTTCTATGGGTGTTCACCATTTGCCTATAGTTGGGACTCTAATAGGTGTTACCACTCCGGTTAAGGGTGGATCTTGGAACAAAACACCAAGTAAAAGGTTGTTCCATGCTCATCATTACCTTCAATCTCTCGATCAGAGGCCTTGCTGCCGGATGTAGTTTATCGTCATACACAAGAAAATATTGAGAAAATACTTTATTGTCGTCCTCTTCATTCTATCTTTGTGTACTTACTGAATCCTTTTTCGATAAGCAATGTAGGCGGTTTGTTTCCATTAAATCTTACAGATTCGAAATAAATTCCTTACCTGACTATAAAGTTCAACTGATGATTCTCCTTTGAGTTGGTGACCCGTTAAATAGGTGTTGTGAGACGATGCAATATAATAATGTGAGAGTGGGTGATCCATATCCTGTTGAGAAAAAAGAACATTAAAATTATAATGAAAAATGCATAAATCTCCTGTCTGAAATTCTGGGATGACTGAGTGATTGATTTTTTACGGTTTACCAACATCTAAAGCTGAACCATATTTTGGATTGGAAAAATATTTTTTTTTTGCGAGTGAAAATTACGTTAACAATTTCTCGTTTGCGAATAACAATGATTTTTTCCAGATATAAATTCTACTATTTAACCCATAACTGGGACTAGAAGAGATGACGTCATACTTTTCCCAAGTGTATTTGCACGTAATTGAATATAACGAAGCCGATTGGAATTCGATCTCGGCTCTCCGATTTCTCATTCAGAGCCGTTGTCCATTACGCCGCCCGCACATCCTATTGTCCGCATCTTTATCGTTTTGATTACAAGGTTTTAATCCTTGTCTCCTTCCTCGTTCATTCTCTTCTCTTTCTTTTCCGCCCCGCACAATATAGTGACGACATCTAAGGGACGTTGTTCCCAGGCATGGGGATATTTTTCTTCTCAGTGACTGAACATCACACACACACACACACAAGTATATATCTCACACAGTTCCTAACTTTCAATATCATTTTTTTTTGCATACATACTCGTTTATTTTCTCTCATTTTACTCAATAAATAGGGCCTTGTTGAAGTTTATTCCGTTTCCTTACACTCGTCATTTAGATGTGTAAAATATTGTTGCCACTGCTTTTAGCCATACTAGGAGAACTGAATTTGAGCCACGGGAGAAGCGCTTCTGACCAAAGGTGTGAGCTTCTCCGTTGCGCAGAGTTGTCCCACAAAATCGAATTCACTTGAATAGTCTCATCAACCTCTCTTTGATTACTATTCAACAGTAGGCTGGTCCTTCACTGTTACCAGAAAGGAGAAAGGGAATAAGATGACGATACCAATGCTCGGATGCAAGCGGGTACCGACTACGGTGAGTGACGCAAAAGTTTACGGATCACAACGTGCTTTCAACATGCGCCTACTGCAGCATTTGGTGCTCACGACGCGCACTCTGCAACAGATCTCTCGTCTTATTCTTATTTTCTGTTGTTTCGTTATTGCATACCTTGTTTCCACTGTGTCAAAGGTTACCCGGCTCAGAGATTGAAACCCAATCACACTAGCCTAGTGAATTAAAACGTTGGTTCATGAATTTGATGACATCGTAATTGTGAATTGTCAGAACGAAGTCAGTTCTTCGCTTTTCCCCGATCGACCATCGTGTCATACCAGGGATGATACTTGCGATTTTACTCCTCTTTATCTGTCTGTAAACTTCTCTTAATACCGCTAGGTGGCGTTATATTTAGGATTGTAAAAGAAGACAGATATAACTTCTATTTGCTCCGAGGCGCTAACAGCGTAATTAATCTCCGCTTGGAGAGATTTCCTTCTCCGGGTGGACCAACTGCTTGCTTTCACCCAACCAGGTACCGCACTTGCGCGCACGACCATTAGTCCTCTCACTATTTTATTCCCCCTTCTCTGAGCTCTGCTGATGTAAACAAATGATTATAATTGCACTCCTCTTTTGAGCCATGTTGCTCTTTATTTACTGGCAAAATCGTTAGAACATGCATCTTGAAGAGAAAATAATGACATAATGTTGACATTCCACACTACTTCAAATAAAAGGTTAGTAAGGAAACCAACATCAATAGATGGAAAGATCTATAACAGCTACTGGTCTTGAGAGATTTAAATTTCATGTTTTAAGAGAAAGATATTTTGTAAATTTTGACTGATAGCAATGTTGGTTGCTCGGTCAATGAATGCCAAATATTTTCTTGTAGGGAAACGGCTAATAATAACATTACCATTGTTAAGATTATCAGATGATGAAACAGAGAGATGTGCAGTTCAAAGAGATTCATACGCAAGCTCGCGTGGAATCCATCCAAACTTGGCTTTACACGTTTTCTTTCTCGCGTCGATAACCGTTACTCTACCTCTCACATTTAGATTAACGTTCCTAATTGCCCAAGATGCTTGGGGTTAAGGAAAAATGAACTGAGCTAATGAAACGCGTACACGCATATAAGCGTGTATATATATATATATATATATATATATATATATATATATATATATATATATATAAACAATGTACGTAGAATAATATAAATATATAGATATGTTCGTATGTGAGTGTGTATGCGCGCTCATATTCGTGGAGTGTTTGGTTCGTGCTATGCAATAGATGTACAGTTGTGAAAAACAGAAACAAAAGACCCCCAAAAAACAAAACAAACAGACCCCCCCCCAAAAAAAAAATAACAAAAACAAAAGCGAACGACAAATCCTTAAGCTAAAAGATCGTCCAAAATTAAATTTCACAAAGTCTTTTCTGTAAATGAACCGACAAGAAGTTTGAATAAACACAGAAAACAATATCTTCGGGCCAAAGGACAGACCTAGTCTTTATTCGTTTTGTTAAATTGAAGACACATGTTCGAACATTATTGTGTTTGTAGACAATGAGAAAGTTATTTTAAAATAAGTTGAGAGAGAAAGACAGAAAAGCATAGGCTGCTCTGTTCAGCAGCAGTGTAGAACCAATCTTTTCTAATTATCCTCTCTAGTAATGGCCTTCTTGATGGATTGTGCAATAATAAAACTAACGGTTTTCTTTTAAAGTAAAAGGGGCGTAATTAGTATATAGTGAAGCGATGGCAGTAGCCACACTAAGGAGTGATCAGCAATGACAGACCTAGTCAAACAAAAGGACACCATGGAGCTGAGGTAACCGCTATTCAAAGGAAATAATAATGAGAGGAAAAGTTTAAGAGAATGCACATTTGTGGTGTTTCGATAAATTCGAAAAACAATACATAAAACAACATGAGGTAGCAGTTTATACATCAAGATATAAAGCCCGTACAATCTTACGTGAAAGCTGAATTCACTTTGCAGGATAATGCTGTCTCGCAAAACAAGACCCTGCTTGTGATCTACTGCTCTGGACACCTAGCCATGGCACAAGACAGGATTGTTGTCCAACAACAATCTATATTGACCAACTATATTATGATACAGAATACGCCCTTGATGCTGGACCATGATAGTTGGCATGATAGACTCATGAATGTCCGAGTTAGGTCAAATGAATAAATAAAACGATTAAACCGCTGATGTAATGTCTACAAAATATAATATTATCAGGGAGACAGTCAAAGACGTAGCCAGCTGTTGGCACATCGCCAGTTCCTAGCTTTTTGAACGTTTTTCTCCCTAAATTTAGTCTAAAACAAAAACAAAAAAACCCAGAAAGACAAGGTACAGAGTATACATGCTGTTGTGGTGTCCTCCCTCTAAAAAGTCTATGTTTGACTCTTCCGCCTACTATAAGATTAGTAACCATTTCTTAACCATTTACTTGGTCACAACACATGCCATACAAAAAGTTCTTTGAGTTGTTTACAATTGAGTTTTTTGAAAAGAAAATGATATGTGAGGTGATCTCATAGATACCAGTCCATTAAATAATATGTGAGGTGATCTCATAGATGCCAGTCCCATTAAATAATATGTGAGGTGATATCATAGATGCCAGTCCCATTAAATAATATGTGAGGTGATATCATAGATGCCAGTCCCATTAAATAATATGTGAGGTGATATCATAGATGCCAGTCCCATTAAATAATATGTGAGGTGATCTCATAGATGCCAGTCCCATTAAATAATATGTGAGGTGATCTCATAGATGCCAGTCCCATTAAATAATATGTGAGGTGATATCATAGATGCCAGTCCCATTAAATAATATGTGAGGTGATCTCATAGATGCCAGTCCCATTAAATAATATCTGAGGTGATCTCATAGATGCCAGTCCCATTAAAATAATTATAGAATAAAGTTATGAAGCATTGAGAATAAAACGGATAATCATATGCTGAATTAGTTAAACATGTCACATTGCAGAGCCTTTTCCAGACAAGCAATACGGCTTTCGTTTCTCTAGATAAACTATTGATGTACTGACAACAATTGCGGAAAGAATCTATGAAGATCGAGACAAGAAGAGTGAACCTCAGGCTGCAGCTTTGGATATCTCGAAAGCTTTCGACAAGGTTTGGCATACAGATGTTTTCACAAATTGAAACTGGTATGTCCGGACAAAGTTTTGAACTGATCCAGTCTTTCTTGTCAAATGCTGAAATGAAAGTTATCCTGAATAGCTACTCTTCCGGCTCCTTTCGTTCTAATGCACGTCTCCCCCATCACTGTATTCTTGGTCCTACTTTGTTTTTAAATTTTCATTAACGATCTTCCCGGTAGCATCAGCATTGAACTTGTTTTCTATGCTAATGACACAACCATTTACTCCTGTCTCGATAGTAAGTCCGATCGGCTCCATAAGGGGAAATTGGTGACTGATGTAAAAAACGACCTTCTTTATCTTGTTAACTAGAGGAAAGAACGGTTTGTTAATTTTAATGCCTCCAAAACTAAGCTTCTCTCTATTAATAATCTGAGAGACTCCTCGCTGCCTTCCATCAGCATGGCTGATGCTAACCACCAGAGTGACGCGTGGCGCTTTCTCGAGCTAACGTTCTCAGCTGACATGAAATGGAAGAACTATATTGAATTCACTGCTATGTCAGCTACTAAAAAAATTGGTTCCCTGTGTCGTGCGTGACAATTTTTCTCTTTAGAATCTGTCATACATATCTATGAATCTGCCATTCGTCCATGCATTGAATATTTCTGCCACATCTGGCCCGTTTGCTCCTGTTATATATCTAGAGATCCTTGATAAAACCCAAAGAAGAATCAGCAATATTATTGGTTCTGATCTGACGGCTCGGCTTCAGTCACTTGCCCACCGCCTAAAGTTGCCTGTCTGTGTCTTTTCTATAAATACTTCCATGGTAATTGTTCGGCTGTACTCTTCCTTATGGTACCTAGACTTCATGAATATAAGCGTACTACTAGACTGGAAACGATGTTTTATCGAGATGTAACCGTAAATTCTATCTTAAC